GGGTTACTCATTGCACACCCAATAAAACGACTTACCGGTTTCCTTCTCACAATAACTATCTCGGCTCATTGTGACACACAAGTCACGAAGTTTGCTTTTCCCCAAGCGAATACTACAACCCCATCCGAAGTCGTCTCACCTCCGACCTCTGTCGTCCACCACCCACTGGTTCCATGCATCCCGCGGTTCTTTCCATACCAACGAGAATGGCCCACTCCGGTCTGAGACAACAGATGGAGATCATTACCCCTCACAATGAAGCCCATCTACGAATCCGGAACCTCATCTCGCCAACTCAACACACGAACAAATCCAGACTCAAGCTCGAGAGTCTGATTCAACAACAGAATTGGAATCACTCAATTCCAATCTGGTACTCCACTCATGACCCACGATTCGTGAATTTATGCATACACCATCTCTCCCCTTCCTTTCGATTACGATAATCCCTTTTTAACCCGGGATATAACAACTCTCGACCGTCACGGAGACCCCAGTCTCGCCCCTGGTTCGGCAACCAGGTTCCCGAAGACTCAAGTGGTAAGGCTGCGCAAGCCTAAACTCCTCTGCGTCATACTCAGACTAGTGAATACTATAGTTCCCGACGAAACAGTATTCACCCTTATCGACTACTGAGTGCTACGGTCTCCCCCGTAGTCTTAAGATGCTCCTTTACTAACTCATGAATGTTACGACTCCCCACAGACTTACGACACTCTCTCACTGTCTCGTGAATGCTATGGCTCCCTGCAGTATCACATCACTCTCTCTCTCTCTCTAACCAGTGAATACTACGGCTCCCCGCAGTATCGCGACACTCTCTGGCTGACTAGTGAATACCACGGCTCCCCGCAGTATCACAACACTCTCCCACTATCCAGTGAATACTATGGCTCCTCGTAGTATCACGACATACTCTCTTCCACTGACTCATGGATGCTACGGCTCTCCGTAGTCTTACAACACTCTCTCGCTCACTGACTCACCATGGGCTCACTCCACGGTTTCTCCTGATAGTCCCAAGCGAATACTCCCCACTCGGATCACTTGCTCTCTTAACCCCCATAATATCATCATCAAGTCATCACCACACTGAGTTCACCAACTCATGCTCCACAGCTCAACATAGATAGGTGCTTACACCCACCCAGCTTATGCACCACCACTTCTGATGTAAGTTCTTGCATGCAAGGCACTAGTCTCAACACAGATACACTCTTAGACAGTCTCACCCCGACGACAATTAACTGATGGGTTCCTACTGGAACAAAATCACTCGGTACTCCACTCGCCATCTCTCAACTCGAGTCTCAACATGACCAAAAATAAGGACGTCATACACGGGTACTTCGGTACACCATCGTAGCATCTCACGATGTCTTGCCTCAACCATTGATCTTTCATGCAACTTGAAATCTCGAAATACTCCCATATCACAAATTGAAACACTGAGGAATCGTCAACGACTGAAAACATGTTGACAAAAAAATCCGAAGCTCCATCCTCTACTGATCACCACCCATACAAAACTACTCATACCGACTCTGAAATTGGTTGACAAATCAACTGCTGCCCCTCCTGGAGTATAGATCACAATCTATACCGATACCCACAAATCTCAGCAATTGCACCCTGAACTCAGCGACCCAACCGCCTCGAACTCAACATTTGCAAACCCGAAAAATCCCTGGCCACAAAAAATTCTCTGACCAACGGCCACCTGCCGTGGGTACACTCATCCTTTCTTAAGAACATAGACATACATCATCTCACCTTGCACCTTGCCTCATCCACCAATAACCCATGTCTCATATGACCGCACCGTAGATCTCCGTAACCAGTTCTCTAACCACACTTGAATGGATCGCTGATCCTCTCAATAGAATACCCAGTTCTCCCCCACTCAATGTTCGAACCATCACCAATTGGCATACCAACAATCTACTCGATAGACTGTTTTGCCAGGTGCATCACACTTGACTCTTGGAACGTACCACGTAATCACATCAATGATCTTCCCGATAGAAATCAAGCAACTCCAAATATCCCGTAACTCAGACAAAAATCTTAGAATCCTCCCGACGCGACTGCCTCTAGCCATCTCGAAACCTCAGACCGACACACCGCCGGATACCCCAACTGTTTCGAATTTATCCTGACTCTCAAACTGGAAATAATGCACTATCACACACCTCGCCTCTGGTTCCTCAACCAGCCTCCCACCGCAGAAATCATCATGGAAGCAAGAAACCTTACTCTCACAGTCGATACACAACATAGACAACGAGGGCCACCGCCCTGATATACTCCTCTTATCCACCTGAAACTGCTACAAAAATTATGCCTCCCCCATTAAGGCACCTCCTTGTTCTCTTTCATCTTAGTCCCACAATGACTCTCTCATGGTATAAGAAATATCTCACAGCAAACATACCGCCTAAAATACTCTGATGGAAAGGTTGCAACCCTATGCTACCCTACGGGGTTTACCTCCAAACTCTGAAATTAGAACTCGTTATCTCCTTCGCTTCTCCCAGAAACAGGGACATCGCAACTCTTGTCACAGAAGGTGACGCCTCATCTGTCGGTCGATTGCTCAACTCAGACCGCGATCCTCCAATAAGCATCATCTTTACTCATCCCTGAGTCTTACAACTCCAACTGGCATCTCACCAATAAAATCTCTCGGAAACTAACTCGATTTCCCTCTCACGGTATGCTCCATTAAAACTCGCTCGATATGGCCCTCGGGCCCCACACGCTATCACATCTGATCTCAGTCTAATCAATCACAACGGGATAACTGGTAAAACCAGAAGCACTAACCGCCACGCATCATGGTACTCAAACCATGTTATCTCCTCTCAATCTGCTACGAATCATGGTACCCGAACCATGTTATCTCCTCTCAACCTGCTACTTAGAACTTCTGGTATTTTCCCTGTTTCGAGTACTTGTCCTCTTCTTTCAGTAGTACGAGCCCATACTACCTGCCACATCTACCCATACTTTCCACATGGATCATCCCAGAATTCCTAAGTAGCTGCTCAACCTTCTCGATCACCAATCCCGTTAATCCTGGTCGCTATCCAGCGAATACTCTCCTCTATCAGTGTACTCTTCTGACTAAAGTTACTTCCCAGGCTCTTCCTAGGTTCTCACACTTCGTTGCCATCAGCTGCTGAAGAACCCATCATGATGCCAGCCATCTACCTCCTGAATATCGTCATATTCACTCGGTAGCTGAATCCCATCATCAAGAGATCCACAAAGCACAAAGCAAGCAACATTCGGGGATCGAATAATCTCCACGAACTCGTAAAACCACTCTAGGTTACCACTCCACTTGCTCTACTCATGCTCAAAAGGTATCACCAAACTCAAGCAACTCTACCCCCCGCGAGTATCTAACTACTCTCTCTGTAGGCTCCTCCGATGCTCATCTAGGTATCTCTCCTAGATTACTCCTCTACTCAAAGTTCCCTCTAAAAGATTCCTGTTGGACACTCTTACTCCACACATAATCAAAACACATCACAGATAGAAAAATTCCTAAGCTAAGACATCACAAATCAGGCAACTCTAGCCCTAAAATATGAAATACCTAGCCTATCTTCTAGCATGCATCACTAATATCTCAATAATAACTCATGACACAATAAGTAAGAGTATTTTGGGAAATCACTGTTCGGGCTCTGGCTGATTGTACACACTGCTCCTTCTCGTTTTTCTCTTAGAAACTCTTGCTCGTTTTAGAAAAATCATTTCTTTTGAAAATTTTTCTCAAATCCTTATTTTGAGTCCAGATTTACCCGAAGGTGCATCCGAATCCCTCAAACCAAGGCTCTGATACCAACTTGTAACACCGTAAATTTTCAAACAATTTTTCATTTTAAATCACATAATTCTCATAACACATTTCTCAAAAATCCCATTTATTTAATTTACAAATCGCAACTCCATAATTATTTGATTAGTAATCCAGGATCCTCCAAACATAACTCTTTCTCTGGTGTGTACAATCAAGCCGGCGCCTTCCCGCGATCCTGAGAAAAACCTGAAACACATATCACATAACACGGTAAGCACGAAGCTTAGTGGGTTCTCCAAAATACCACACATATCTTATTAGCCTTCAAAATATGGGAAGAGGTGTGCAATGAAAGATTAATCCACGCAAGCCTTCAAAATATGAAGGTAATTCCATCAAGAACTAAACCAAACGTTGCCCTTCCCTTCTATCAGTATAAGGCTTAAAAGCGTTCAACTCAACAGGTTCTGTAAGAGCCAACTGATCCCAAAAATACGACATAGTTGCATAGAATTCCTGAACATTGAGATTGTTCTGTTGGAGGGCTCGGATATCAAACTCTAACTGGTACTTCTTTTCAAAATTAGACTGAGTATACAACCTATCTAAGTGATCCCAAACATTTTTTGTTGTGTCATACTTCGCCAACTAAGTACCAATAGATTGGATAATAGAATTATTAATCCAAGTAATGATCTTGGAGTTATCAGTCTCCCATAAATCCAGTAAGATTGCATAATTCACAACCTTGTCATCTGTTGGTTTTTCTTGTCACCTTTAACAATCCCCCACAAACGCTTACCTCGCAAGAAATTCTTCATAAAATAACTCCAATAGGCATAGTTCTTGCCATCGCGTTAGGTACTAATGGACTGAAGAGAGTCATCTTTCGGGGTCATACTTCCAATAATAGTCAAATGAAAATAAACAAAACCAACAGCAAATACGAATAGCCGCAGCAACAATCAAGATCTTGAAATAAAAAAAAAATCGAACAAATCATACTAAGCAGAATACAAAAATGAAGCAGGAAAACATACCCAAACCCTTAAAATTTTCCAAGCATAATACAGTTCGATCCGCCCAACGCCGTGCCTACTACAACTCACCCCCAAAAACGAAAATACAAATGATCAACCGCGCTCTGATACGATGTAAACTAACAAGAAAAAGACATAGAACAGCTAGGGTTTCATATTATTATCAAATGAGAAGTACAATTACAATGAAAGGGAGACATAATTTATAAACTAACTAATTAGGGTTTCCTAGCTAATGTGCCAACATAATACCCAATACAAAATAAAGCCCAAAATCTTATTAGGCCAACACAAATCACATGCCATGCATGAACGTAACAAGGTGTTTCATCTTCAATAGAATGCTCATATTTAAACTCCCTGATAATTGGCCTACCTCCTTTGAAAATTAAAGGACCTGATGGCAAAGGCAAAGACAAATGCAAATAGTAGGGTGAATCCAACATGCATACCAGCAACTACACCAAGAAAACTTCTCTCAAATCCAAAATATCTCTCCAAGAAATCTTTTACAGTTTCACCATTCTCAAGCATATCTTCAGAGTCTGCAAACTGTGAAGTAACCAATCCATAGAGAGTCCAAGCAGACGGACATGCCCAATAGTACCATCTCCACCAGATAGGTATCCTCTGTTTACAAAATGGAGAACAAGAACATATGTGTAATTAATAAGGAAGATTGTAAATCTCAAATTTGAGGCAAAAATGTTGAGGATTAATGGAGCTTACAGTTCGTGGGATAACAAATCCTGAAAAGAGATTCCATATTCCATAAAATGAGGCAGCAACAATGGCAGCAACAGTGGGGTTGGGTGTCATGGCCACAGTCATCATGCCATAAAAGGTCATGTATAGTAATGTGAGGTACATGAAAAATAAATACCAACAGAATTTGGCTGCTGTCCATTGAAATCCAATCATTGCATACACTAGGAGACCGTATGTTGATGTTTGTACAAACACGTAGGGTAGTTCCACCAGAACCTGCGAAAGGAATTTAACAGCAGGTTCACATTTATAACAAATCATGTTAAGGGTTATGTACTAAGGGGTTGTTTCTTTTCTACTTAATGGGCTTAATGGGTTAAGCACATTATCTTGAAAACTATACATGGTTGTTCCTTTTTTCCTTAATCCGGACAGAATGACTTAAAAGATTAAGCAAAAAAAACCCTGGCTTAATGTATTCAGACACTAACCCTCATCTATTTCCCCTTCTTTTTTCCTCCAACCTCCTCTCATGTTAAACTTGATGATTATAGTTAGAAAGTAAGGATAAACGGTCTTCTAGTCTCATTTGGACAGTTATTCGTTCTAGAAAAGAAACATACCTTATGTGTACAACACTTAATTTGTCTAGACAGAATTCGTTACCTATTCAAACACTTTCTGAATAATAAGCTAAACTTATTATTAGTGTTAGGTGTTAGTTTAGTAACAGATTATGTGGCAGTTACAGTTATGTGACCGTTACGGTAGTTATAGTTATTTTAACCGTAAAATGAAGGGGGTGTGATGGTTAGGGATGAAGAGTCAAGTTGATTTAATTTCAATATATACATATGTAAACAGATGTAAATGTTGTTCTTGGGGTTTTGATAAGAAATCTTTGTTTGTTGTACAAGAATCCATCTTCTTCATAAGTTTCTTCCAACAATCTCTCCAACAGATTCTGTGTTTTTGGTTTGTTTCCAACACCACTTAATCCATACAGGACTTGATGAAAAAAAATCCCTTAAGTACCTGTGCGAAAGCATATGATAGGGCGGAATACATTCCTGCAGCTTTTTCTCTATAAAATACTGTCCTCTCAACAGCAACCACTGGCTGCACGGATGACGCATTTTGGGTCCCAATAAAAAGAACAGCAGCATACATAGAACCCATTGCATTAAGCAAATCTTGTTGTGATGTCCTGAAATTACAATCACACAAGTAAATTAATAAAAATACAAAACTAAGTTGAGATGTTTTCAATTCTATTACTCTTAAAGTATCTTACCTTTTGCCACCTAGATCCCAGAACATTGTCCCAAACATCAATCCAATTCCCAAAGTGAATAAAAATCTTACTGCAGTGTAAGAAGGATTTCGCCAGTATGACAGGCGTTGTTTCCATAGGCAAGCCATGCATTGTGTGAAGAAAGACTGAGAGTATCGAGTTGGGAAATAGAGATCTTTTGATCCGGGAAGCGGTGTATTCAGCTCATTAATAAGAGCTTTATTTCTCCTATCAATACGTGTAAGACATTACTAAAAGACAAAATTGCAAAAATGGTCCCCGTGGTTTCTTATTTTATGTGGTTATGGTCCAAACGTTTGAAAAGTTGCAAATTTGGTCCTTTTCAACAAGTTTTATTGTGGTTTTGGTCCATGATCCGTTAAGTTTAACTGGTTGGCTGTTAACTTTTTTAAAATGACAATTTTACCCTCAGGGACCATTTTCGCAGTTTTGTCTTTCACCATACCATAAGGACCATTTTTGCATACATTCTTTTTATTTTATTGAAGTATTATATTAATAAATATTATTTTTAATATATAATATTATATATTAATAAATATTGTTTTATTGGATTATTAATTTATTATAGTTGATTTTTTTTTATTTTTTTTTGTTAGAGTAATTCTTTTTATTGAGTTATTATATATCAATACATATAGTTTTTAATATATAATATTTATATCATAATAAATATATTACTAGATTATTAATTTCTTTTAGTTAATATTTGTAATTCTTTTTTTAAAATTATTTTTATTGGATTATTTAATTTATTATTTTCTTCATATACTAAATATTGTTTTATTGGATTATTTAATTTATTATTTTCTTCATATACTAAATATTGTTTAATTTATTATTTTCTTCATCTAGCTTATAATGAGAAACCATAGGGAAAATACCACCACCATCACTCGGTCACCACCACCACTTATAAATGTTATAGGGGTTTGCTGCGCATTATGTGGGATATGAAGGATTCCAGTGGATTATGAAGAGGTTGTCGCAGGTGGCTACCAGCAACGCTAGGTGGAATAGGGTAGGGTATCTATTGAACCTCCAATGAAGGTGTTTGGAGGTGATCCTGCTAATTTTTTACGATGATAAGCGACACTTTTACGTATTTCGACGACTTTGTGGTGAAACTAATAAAATTAAAAACAATTAATAGTATACATTAAAAATAAAATAATAATCCAATAAGATAATATTTATTATATTAAAAAAATAATAAATTAAAAGTAATATTTCAACAAATTAATAATTCAAAAAAACAAATTACAAAAATTAATAATCCAATAATGTATTATTTATTATGAATGTAAATATTATATATTAAAAATATATTTGTTGATATATAATAATCTAATAAAAAAAATTGCTCCAACAAAAAAGAAATTATAATAAGAATCAATTAAAAGAAACTAATAATCAAATAAAATAATGTTTTTAATATATAATAATCCCATAATATAATATTTATTATGATATAAATATTATATATTAAAAACTATATGTACTGATATATAATAATTCAATAAAAAAGAATTACTTCGACAAAAAATTAAAAAAATATATAATTAACTAAAATAAATTAATAATCCAATAAAACAACATTTAGTATATCAAGAAAATAATAAATTAAAAGTAGTAATACAATAAAAAATAATTAAAAATTACAAAAATTAACTAAAAAAATTGATAATCCAATAATATAACATTTATTATGATATAAATATTATATATTAAAAACTATATGTATTGATATATAATAATTCAATAAAAAGAATTACTCCAACGATTTTTTTTTAAAAATCAACTAAAATAAATTAATAATCCAATAAAAAATATTTATTAATATATAATATTATATATTAAAAATCTATTAATATATAATACTTCATTAAAATTAAAAAGAATGTATGCAAAAATGGTCCTTATAGTATAGTAAAAGGCAAAACTGTGAAAATGGTCTCTGGGGTTAAAATTGTCATTTTAAGGAAGTTAACGGATGAGGGACTAAAACCACAACAAAACTTGTTGAAAAGGACCAAATCTGCAACTTTTCAAACGTTTGGACCGTAGCCACATAAAATGAAAAACCGTAGGGACCATTTTTGCAGTTTTGTCTTACTAAAATCATGAAACAGTTTAATGAAATGAAATTATTGGTATTGACTACTTGACTTACCTGTAAAGTTCAGAGTTTTTGTAGATTTGTGTGAAATCAATTCCAAGAGCCATTTCTTGTGCTGAGGTACTAACTTCTAACATCCATGTGGCAGGGTTATAACCGTCTTTGATCTTACTTATTCCTTCGATATCCTAGAGGCTAGAATGCTCAGTGGTGTATCACATTTTAAACCATTTTATGCAGATTGTGTTTTGTTATTTAAAACTTGTTAATAATGTAACCTTAATTACCTCAAAATACTTGATCAAATGGCAGGAATGGCGACCGACTGGTCCAACATATAACTCTTCTCCTCCTCGTTTCATCAAAAATAGCTGCAACCCATATATAAATTTTAGTATTCCCATTCAGGAAGTATAATCCCGAATGTAAAGTTTTGTTATCTTTACAAAAAGATATTGAAAGAGTACTGTTAGGGGCTGATTGATTAAATTGAATCATTTAGTGTCAAATGATTTCATCCTCTTAATGATTAAGAGAAGGTAAGGTTCCTTAACCGTTCACAGGCCTTATCAAACGCGTCGAGTGCTAACCAATTCAGAGGTGACCTCTAAATGGTTCCATCTAGAGGTTATCAAACAATCCCAATCAATTTGTTAGATTTGATGATGACTCAATAGCAGTTTGAACAGGTATCGGTTTGACCAGATAGAGAAGTGTCAACTACTTCCTTCATTAAGTTAATAGTCAATATTATATGATATTACAAGAGATCCTTAATTTATTATACCTCATCAAAAGCTTCAAATATATCAATGCTAGGTTGATGAATGGTGCACACAACGGTTCTACCCGTGTCCACGGTGTTCCTAACAGTTCTCATAACAATAGCAGCCGCTCTAGCATCAAGACCAGACGTTGGTTCATCCATAAATATTATAGATGGGTTAGCCACCAGCTCAACCGCTATGGTTAACCGCTTACGCTGTTCGGTTGATAGTCCATTTACACCTGGCAACCCAACTAATGCATCTCTTATTGGATTCAGTTCCACAAGATCCATAACTTCATCAACAAACATCTGCACATGTAGTTTTACTATTAAGTCTAAATTCTCCTTAGGGGCTGTCTTTTCTTCCAGTTAAGTTCTATATAAGTAAAGTGGTTGAATGAGTAATAAATTTTTGTGTGGATAATATGTTATATACATAAGAGTTGTTTCTTTTCTAGAATGAATAATCCATATGAATGGAAGTAAATTACCAATTTACCCTTACATTCCATGTTTTCCTCAATATTCATAAATTTAAACAATATTCATCAATTTAAAATGACAGGAGTTGGGAGGATAAAAGAAAAAAAAAATAGTAAAGTGTTAGTATCTTAATACATTAAGCCAGGTTTTGTGGCTTAAACCCTTAAGTCTTTTAGTAAAAAAAGATCAATATATTCCTTAATTACCTTTCTGGTTTCAGAATCAACATCTGCTGGCAGCCTTAGCCAAGCAGAGTAAATCAAGGACTCATGCACTGTGACATGAGGTGAGTGGATGTCATTTTGTTCACAGTATCCTGAAATTCGAGCGAAAGTTTCCTGCCTCTTTGGGTACCCTGAAATGACAATATTACCCTCTATATATCCACCTGTTTTCCTTCCTGCCAGCACATCCATCAAAGTAGTTTTACCAGCGCCACTAACACCCATTAATGCTGTAAGAACACCCGGTCTGAATGCCCCACTCACACCCTTTAATAACAGCAATCGGTCCTCAACTACTCCTTGCTCTTTCATTTCCTTTAATGCCAAAGTTCATTAGTTTCAATCAAATATGATAAAGAATCTTGATTAATATTAGGAAGTAGGAACTAAAACAAGTTTATAACAAGTGTGTTTATAACCACCTGGGGCATATCAACTGAGTATTTAACATCATCGAAGGTGATACAATGTGGTTCAAATGGAAGAATCATTCCCTTTTTCTTGCTCATGGAATGTAACTCAACAGCTGAAGGATTTTGGGCTTCGTTTTCATCTAATATAACAGTTTGATGTTTCTCCAAAGCTGCATATGTGTTCCTATTTTGTTAAAGTTCTATGAATTAATTCATAAATAAGAAGAAGGATGGATACGTACGATTTAGAAATGTGAGAGCTAGCGTGTAGGTAAAGTTGAAGAGGAACACATATCCAATCAAAGCCGCTACTGCAATCCAATACCAATATGCATATGGGAAGAAACCTCTAGATGTTATAATCCTCACTCCTAGGGACTCTGTTGAGTTAGGCAATACCTGTACTTAATGTTAAAAACGGTTAGCTTGAATGAACATATAGTGTGTATATATATATATATATATATATATATATATATATTATATATATATATATATATATATATATATATATATATATATATATATGTGTGTGTGTGTGTGTGTGTGTGCGCGCGCTCTTGTGCGGGGAGAACTCTAGAAAAACCTAAATTATTATCTCCTAATAATGGAAAAACCATTATGTTATTATGTGTACAATAAAACCATTTTATTTTTAATAATGCCTAAAATAATGCTTCGTAAATGACAAACACTTGATATTCGGTTATCTAGCATTTGTGGTTATAAATAAAGTCGATCATTATTTTCTAATGCGCGAAAAAATCATTATGTTATAGTTTTGTACAAAAAAAACTATTTTATGTTATGATTTTTTACAATAAAACCGTTTTATATTCTTGTTTTATACAATAAAACCTTTATTTTTCTTGGCCCATATTTTTTTTTTGTTGAGAAATCATACTTGATAAATTTTTTTAATGGTTCCACAGATGAAGCATAAAAACCCAACATAGGCCATATATATATATATATATATATATATATATATATATATATATATATATATATATATATATATATATATAATTTGGGTCAAATAAGAGTAAATATTTGGTAGATATTATAAGAAGTGTATTATTTGTATGTTTTTGCCAAAACAGTAAAATTAATCATTAGATAATACAAAAATAACATAATTTTTGGAAAAAAAAATTGCCAAAAATACATCTCGATAATTCACTTTTTGTTGAATCAAATTTTGATGTGTTTTTCGAACAATTTTATTGAATCATTACAAAAATGAATCTTCGGTATTTTTGGAGGTTTTTTTTTTGTGAATGATATTATTTATCATTATTCAGTGATTTAGTTTTTTTAGTTCATCATAAAACATGCAAATAGTATTTGTTACCTTTCCCACCAAAAGTTTCTTTCTTACTATATATATATATATATATATATATATATATATATATATATATATATATATATATATATATATATATACACACACATTATATTATTGTGGTATTTAAATGACTTACTCGGTTCCAACTATGCCCAAGAAACTCATTAACTACAATCCCATTCATCGCATACATCATTGGTGATGACCAATATCCCCAAATCCACCAAGACTTTATAGCATCTGTGATATTGCAAAAAAGACCACATTTCTTAATCAATATTTGATGGAAGATTTTCTTTTGTTTAGGAGTATATTGGGTGTGATGGAGTGAAATCGCAAAAGAATGAAAAGACTATAGAATGGAATGGATCATTATGTTTCATTATTATGTTTTGTTGGCTTGAATGAACAAAGGACTCATTCAAGCATAGTTGTAATATATTCAGCCATGCCATGAAGGAATGGAAAAATTAACATCCATCCCCCATAGAATGAAAATCAGCTGAGAAGAAAGGAATGTTGCATTCCATTCATATATGAAAAACAAACATGATTTTTTTTATTCGGTCATAATGCTTAAGTTTTATTCCCTCGTCTATTGCTGCATATACCAAACACTGTCTAATTAATTATGTACCTCGTGATAGGACAAAGCCACCCAAAGCGAATAGTATGAGAAGTGCAAATGAACCAAATGTGCTTGCAACAATCATATTTCGACCTAGTGCTGCAATAAAGCGAAATAATCCTGATGCCATCTGGTTGACGAGAAAGAGTAGCAAATACTGTTTAAAGAATCTGTAAAAAGGAGATTATTTAGTCATATATGTTACGCCCTAGGAGGCAAACAAGTAATGTTAGTTAATTTGAAGTAACAAACCTTTCAACATTTGAATCAAATCCAACTACATAATATGTAAGAAGAGTCCAAAGAAAAGTATCCATAAATGAGCTGGGAATCTTGATGATCCATGAAGGAAGTGTGTAAGCCCACGAGGGGTAAAACAGGAAATCCCTTTGCTTGTAAAAGACAGGAAGCTTTGCTATGGTCATGGAAAGCTCAGAAAATCCATTGAACATGATCGTAGTTACACCAAAAAAGAGTGCACCTGTGTATATCCCTCCATCTTCCACCGACCTTTTGTGCATTTCGGTTCGGAAAAAGACTGTCATTGTCAGAAATGACATCACAAGAAGCTGAAAGTAGGTAAGAAAATAAATTCTTTAAGTTTTAGAATTAATCTTTGAAAAATTAATATATGATTGTTTTTTTTTCTCATATTAACTCGTAAAGAGGTTGAATGAGCAATGATCTCTCTCCACATAAAGTGTTATATATATAAGGTCTGTTTTTGTTTCTTTATCTAGACAATATCAACCATCTTCATGAGACTAAATGACCATTTTACCATTACATTCCATAAAATAAATTTTACAATTTTCATCAATTTTAACGTGACAAGAGTTGAGAGGAAAAAAGAACAGAGAAAAGGTAAAGGGTTAGTGTCATAATACAATTAGCCATATTTTGGCTTACCTCATTAAGTTATAATGTCTGTATATTAAGTAAAAATAGAAAACAAAAAAAAAACTGTGTGTGTGTCTATATATATATATATATATATATATATATATATATATATATATATATATATATATATAATAGGGTTAGGTTATTTTGTTTCTTACATTTATTGTGTGCTAGAATGCACCAATAGGAATTTAGTAAATTAAATAATTATTTAATTAAATAAACATAAATATATTAAATGATTTCCATAATTATAATTTTCTTTTTATGGAAACTAATTAAATCCATCTTTAATGTCAGCAATAACATTCTTTCAGAATGAATTCGCATGTAGGTTTTTATATAGGAGTTCGTATTTTGTTTCAGGACTCACTCACTTAAAATACAATAAAGTTGCATGGAATATGAAGAACGATAGTGTATTCTACTAGAATACACTCTCATTCTGCTGGAATACACTCTCATTCTTCTAGATATGGATTCATTCTGAAATAATATTATTGTTGACAACGAATTTAATAGGTTTCCATAAAAATGAGTTATAAGTATGGATAACATTTAATATACTTATAATTAATACTAAAATCATATTGGTACATTCTAGCACACAATAGATGTGAGAAACATTTGAACCTACCTATATATATATATATATATATATATATATATATATATATATATATATATATATATATATATATATATATATTCCGATCAAGTGCTTAACACATTAAGCCCATTAAATAAAAAAGATACAACTCCTCCAACTTAATTGAGTACGTACTTGAAATAGTTTGAATATGTAGACGAATGAGTTTCTCTTCATAAGCAAAAATTCTCTTGAAATGCAGGCTTTCAAGAGCTCCTTTTTGTTCACTCCATATATTTTGGTTGTCAATGCAGCAGGATGGCTCTTGTTTTTGTCATATGGGATCGAAATCTCTTCTGCCATTCTCCTTCCTTCATGGAAGGATTCATATGCCTCAGCAAATTCTTTGGATGTGATAAACCTGTAAGGTTGGTCTCTCTCTATCCAGTATTGCTCCTGGTCTTTCTTTGATGTTACCTATGGATATATGTGTGTTTGAGCACGCTGCTTTTACATAAGCTTTTCTTGTCAAATAAGTTCTTGAAAGTCAAATACGCTATAGCGGAGCTTTTTCATGATTCATTTTATTTTTTATTCTTTTAGCTTATTATATTACAGATAAAAAATGTTATGCCGTTTAATATAAATTTTCTAAAACTCACTAACCCAGTTTTTTTAGTTTTAGAAAAATGTAAGTAAGAAAAAGTTAATTAGAAATACTAGTAACATTAAATAAACATTTATTATATTATATTATATTTCAAGTATTGTGTAATGAAATATTGCTTACCAAAGGGCTTCTAGCCCAGCGGTATCCGGTGTTGCCTCCCTCTTTGAGGTTGAGGGTTCAAGTCCCGTTGACATAGGTGGATTTAAGGTATAATTTAGGAGTAGATTAGATTTACCGTTTTATAAAAATTTAAAATATTGCTTAATTCATATTAGTAAGTTTAATTTATTTTCATTTGTTGTTTGTAGAAAGATAATGTATGTATACTATTAATTCAAAATAATTAAATTTTAAATATATTTATTTACATAAAAAGAGTAAGTAGATCTCAATTAAATTGTATATATTTTAAATTTATTTTCTTTATTACGAAAATTAAATATACTACTTATTTATTTTAAATTTAATTTTTTTTATTTTTATATAAAATAAATGATATAAACTGAAATTGATATGACTTGTTAATAAGCTTAGTGAAAAATGGATATTTTGAGGTTTTTGACTTTTTCGTTTGGTGATCTGTTGACCTGGTTGACCCTTTTAGCGCCCGGTTCTTTTATCTACCCCGTCCGTTCTCACGAACTGAATTCTCCTTAATTTTAGGTAATTAAAAGTCACCTCGACAATCCAAAAAAGCTTAACATATGTCAACTATATAGCAAAGCAAAGCTTCTTCAATAAGCTTATTTGTGGGTCCCATTATCAAATTAGTAGTTATTTTTGGTGTATTTTATACACTAAAAGAAATAAAATATATTAAAAATGATGAAAAAGCTCATGTAACAGCTTGTAACTACACTAGCTTATTGAAAGAGCTTGTAGATGTAAAAGCTACCACTAATAGGAAATAAGTTTTTTCAGGAGCTTTCTCACCCAAAAAGCTTTTTGAAAAAGCTTGGGAATGAAAAAGCGAACATCATAGGAGATAGGCTTTTACATCCAAAAATACTATTGAAAAAGCTCCTGCTATGGATGATCTTAGCAATTAAGAAGTTAGTTACATCCATATTTGTTAGTTTGCATAAGAAGAAGCCGAAACAAATCTAGAAATAACACTTACTTCTTGCAAGAAGTCAGCAACACCTTTCCTTTCTGGACATTTAAATCCCATTGATTCAAAAAACTCAAGCACTTTTTCACGTGGACCCTGATACACAATCTTGCCATCCGTGAGCAATATTATGTCATCAAATAGATTATAAGTTTCGGGTGCAGGCTGTAGGAGTGAAATAACAGCAGTTCCTTCAAAAATCTGAATATATTGCCTCAAAGAATTCACAATATGAAACGTTGTAGAACTGTCTAAACCCGTAGATATCTCATCCATAAGAAGAACCTTTGATGGGCCCACTATCATTTCACCTACACGTTTTCATCAAATCCAGAAAACATGTATCAAATGTCACTCTCTGTGTGTCATATGAAAGCTTATGTACCTGTAGTGACTCGCTTTCTTTGTCCACCAGATATGCCTCTTATCATTTGATCCCCTACCATGGTATCTGCACAGATATCTAGTCCCAAGATCTAAATGGGACACAAAACATTATTGTTATAGTTTAATGTTTTAGAAGTCAATAATTTTTAGTTTTTATAGTATACCTTGAGAATATAATCTGTGACCACACTTGTCTCTTGACCTTCTGTTGCTGCTGCCTAAAGCATCATAGAACAATCACAAGTTATTTTCTTTTTCAAGTTAAGTCAAGGGGTTGTTTCTTTTTTAGTTAATGAGCATAATAAGTTAAACATTTAATCTGGAAACCTATATATCGTTGTTTCGTTTAACTTAATTAATCTGGAAAGAATGACTAATGGAATAACCCGAAAAAATTGGCTTAATGTATCAAGACACTAACCCTTTACCTATTTGTCCTTTATTTCTCCCTACTCCTGTCACATTAGAATTTATGAATACTGTTATAATCGTTGAATATTATGAATATTGTTTTTTTTGGAATGTCAAGGTAAAATAGGCATTTAGCCAGGTTAAGATGGTTTATTAGGTCCAAAAAAGAAACAAACTTATGTATGCAACACTTCATTACAAACATCATTACCCATATTTAAGCCCTTTGACCCAAGTAAGACTTAATGGAGAAAAAAAAGCAGCCCTTAAGGCATAATAACCTAATGTAACTCCTTTATTACCTTCATGTATATATCAATATCAGGATCGGGATGAATATTTGCATCTTTTTCTCTTTTTGACAACTCTGCCAACATTTCTGTAATTTATTGGACAAAAACTATGTCAGTAAAAATATTCCACCACAAGGTACATAGTGAAAATATACAGGTTGACATAGTGTAGAAATTAACAGCTAGGGTTATGCCAACTAACCATAACGTGATCCAATGCCCTGACATCTAGCAGAAAAAGCCAAGGTTTCTCTAACAGTCATTTCACCAATATGAAGATCATTTTGACTGATGTAAGCAGAGGTTCTCTGAGGCACGAACTCATGCATATCATGCCCATTGTATGACACCCTTCCTGACCACTGGTTACAAAAAAACAAGTTTTTTTTTTTTTTTTTTTACAAAATTGAAGTGAGAGATAACATAATATAAGTTTTCCTCAAAAGGGTATTCAAAAAAGTAAACGCATCGTAATTTACTGTAAGCTCCTTGGAAAGCTTCCCAGCCAAGGCTAATAACAAAGTTGTTTTTCCAGAACCTGGAGGACCTAAAAGTAGTGTCATCCTGTAAAAGAATAACATTAATAATTAATATATAGTTCATGTTTACTCAAATGGGATGCTTAAAAGTTAAAAACTCGGCTTTTTTCACCTGCCAGGTTTTATAATTCCACTTAGATCTTCAAGTATAGTGATATGCTTCTTCCTGTTTGGTAGTAAATGGAATATATTCAAGAATGCCTGCGAAATTCAGCATGACCATGAGCTAGATAGTTGTTGGGCTAAATGCAAAAAATAACAATATACTTTCATGCATTTGTGCATAATACTATCCTACTTTCATTTCTAGATATTACAACAATGTACTTTCAATTCCATTTCTTATTAGCGCCTCTATAATAGGAGCTTATTGAGGAGCTTTTCCGGTCAAATAAGTTTCGCATGATACGGGTAATATTTCCGATGATGATTTCCATTCAATACAACAAAAATATATACATGTACACTGTGGACTAGGCTTTAGAATACATGGAGCGACTAATACTAATACAAATACAATAATACATATACACACTAACATCCCCGGCAGTTGAAATGGGAGTAGATGACCAGACATTTAAACCGGATATGAACTCCTCGAAGAGAGACATAGGAAGCCCTTTAGTGAAGATGTACATCGACTGTGATGAGGAGGGGATATGAAGTACACGAATATGTCCCATGCATGACAACTTTGCCGCGAACAAAAAACGGATACACTACAAGGAAAACGATCATTAGCGGCGACAAAAGTCGCCGGTAATAAGTCAAGTTTTCATCGGTAATAGTAATAGTGGCGACGCGTCGCCGGTAATAAGTCGCCGCTATTGCTTCGTCGCTATTGATCAACTTGTCGCCGCTAATGAGAGATGTCGCCGCTAATGAGGTGTGTCGCCGGTAATAACGAAGTCGCCGGTAATAACTCTATCGCAGGTAATAGTGTCGCCGGTAATAACAATTTTCATTTTTTTAATTTTTTTTTAATTAACGATTTTGGTTGCCGGTAATATTGTAATAATGTCCTCGGTAATTAGATAACAACATTCGATTAAATATCAAAAATAATAGTGTCGACGTTAATTACAAAACAAACATCCGATTATAATTAACTAAATATCAAAAGTCATAATATCCGATTAAATATAAAAAGTAATAATGTCGCCCGGTAATTACATAACATCCGATTAAATATAAAAAGTAATAATGTCGCCCGGTAATTACAAAAAACAACCAAAGTTTTACAATCTACCCATGTGATTGGTCATCTGATGTTGGAACGGATTGGTTGATAGAAAGACCATGTTGATGTAATCACAAAACACAGGGGGTAGATTTCATGAGCGGAGAGTGAAGCTCATGAAGATTGGCGTAACCATGTGGTTTTTGCAACGGCGTTTTCAACGTCCTGAGACTCTACTTCAGCACTAGAACGTGATACGGTGCCTTGTTTTTAGAAGTCCGAGATCATTGGTTGTTCTCAAGAAATACACAATAAATCGAAGAAGATCTCCTGGTCAAGTGGCATCCCCTAACCGACGTCGGATTAAGCAATAAGACCTCAAGCTGGAGAGGCATGGTGTTGAAAATGATCATGAGGAATTGCATTTTTCACATCTAGCTGATGAATCGACTAACGATATGAAAGAAATAGACTGAGGACGGTACGTATCCTTTTCGGTTTGTCAATCAGACTAAAAGTCTCATCACATCGGATACCTGGTCGTTGACTTTTGCCATTAGCAACCAAATGTGCTTTGTACTATGCCTAAGACTCATCAACGTTATGTTTCTTCTTGAATAATTAAATGGATCAGGCAACATTATAACCTATGTGTCTTTGAACAAGTTTTCATCATCTGTTAGTAATAAGAGCATTGTATTCATCATTCATTGCATTAAACCAATTATGGTTATTAAAAACCTATAAATATGAGTGAGAGACTGATGACTCATTTTGAACAAGAATATTAACTCATTTTGAACAAGAATATTAACATGTTGAATGGGTTTGGTCACACTAAGTTTGCTTTGTGTCATACGAGTGATCGTCAAAATAGACTGGTTTTCTATGATAAGAGCCTTGACTGATTGATCTTGTGTCAAGGGGGAGTGAGACGAGAATGCGGTTGTTGGGGTGGATGTGGCAACATGTAGAGGGGCTGTCGAGAAGGTATTGGCAGCAAGTGAAGCAAAGATGGTGGCAACAAGAACATGAGCTGCCAAGTGAGTAGATATGGGGTTGATTAGTGTTTATGAATTGGAGTTGGAGGTGGAGTTAGAGGGCCGGTGAACTAAGAAAGTGTTGAAAAATGAGAGAATTTTTGTAAATGTCATCTAGAAAGTCATTAGGGAGTTTGGTCACAGTATCATAAGCATTTCGGGAAGGAAAATTTTCTTAGAGTTATGGTCACAGCATCGAAAGCCTCCGTGATGGGATGGGTAGTCGAGAAAGGTGGATGGTGATGAGCAAGGAGCTAGCTTGTGGGTGGAAGGTAATATGTTGAAAAGACGACAAGACATATGAAGATATTCCTCCCAAAATGTTGGCGGAAGATGACCGGTAAAGAGGAAAGAACGGATGATGTTGTTAATGGTACATAACATCTAGTCAGATTTTTCGTTTTGTTGAGATGCATGAGGACAAGCAAAATCTTATTTATATATATATATATATATATATATATATATATATATATATATATATCATTTGCATCACAAAAGTTGTAAAAGAGTTTGTTATCATATTCACCCCATTATCATTTTGGAAAGTTGGGTTCTATTGGGTTGAGCTTGATGCAACGAAATGGGTTTGCTCCTGATTCGACAACTAGGTTAGTTTTGTAAGCCCGGTGACGGATTCTATGCAGTAGGGCTTTGTTAGTGGGCATTAGGATCGTGGTTTTGATGAGGTGGAGTAGGAACCATACCATTACCGAGAGAAGTAGGATCAAGGGTAGGATCTAAGGTTCCTTCGACGACCATAACCCCACAAAGAGCCAAAGAAAGCAAGGTAAGGCGACGAATGTTTCTGTTTGAGGTAAGGGTGCTGGCGGTTGTTGCTGAAATTGATGACGTTGTCGGCTATCAGAGGAACAACGATGTCCATTACATCCTCCCCTCCGATACTGTCACAACAGTGAAAATTAGGTCAATTTTAGTCAAACAATATCACTCTTAACACTTATGTAATAGACCTAATGAGGAATATTCGATACATTTTCATGTATGTAAAGTTTTACACTTCGAAATACATAAGAAATATCAATTAAATATTAAATAGTACGTATTTGTGACAAACAAACATTTTCATTATACATAAGTAATGATTTGATACATATGATTGCAAGAGATGTATGTATTAAGTATTATTATGCATAGATGATACGATAAGCATATAGCACATGTAATTACGAAACCATTGACAAAAAGAACGTTGAAAACAGAGTTTATATGTAAAAGTTATGTCAATCCGTAGAAAACAGACAGTTGAACAAAAGCACATGGCATGTTGTCGTAATAAAGCAACTTCAAACGAGTTCTACTACGTATTAGAGAATGAATTTTCAACTCCTAACAACTTTTCCTAAAGACTAACTGAATTTATAAATTTATCACGTTCCTAACTTTTTTTACCTGAAAAAGCCCAATACAACTATGGATAAGATCAAGCAGTAACGATAACAGCTTTTTCATAAAGAAATCTTTGATCAATTTGTTAGGTTAGTTACGGGATTCGTCACAAAAATATATTTATATCTTACAAACTAGGAAATGGTGTAGTGTTTGAATCAATCGCTAACTTTTCCATTACATGACAAACCGACCCTTTCGCAAAGTAAAAATGCGTAATTGCAAGCAAGTTTCTACCGAAAACCAACCTTCAACTGACTCGTTAGGATAGCTATGCTATGACTCACAATCTAATTAATATTTGCGTTTTCTGAATCATGAGAAAGTATATTATTTGAATTATTAGACGGAAACATTGCAACTGAAATTCCACGAAATACCTACATCTTGTTAGGATAAGATCAAAGTCACATCAAAGATTCGGACTGTTGGATCATTTTTGGAATTAGTATAAATATGAGGGCACCCTCATCTCTCTATACACATCAAAAATCTATCCCATCTCTCTTCCAAGCCTCTGCCCCTCTCCCTCTCTTTTCCGGTCGTCGATTGGTTGCCGACATCCCTCCTCGGCACAGCCCTCCTCCGCCCCTTTTCGTCGAGCACCGTCGCAGCGGACCATCGTCATTGCTCTAATCAATCGGCTTCCATCCTTCGCTGCTCCAACCAACCACACCACAACTCTGTCCAGCCTCCTCTCCATCGACAACATCCCTCCGCCACCTCATCACCAACAACAGCTGCCTCCAGTCGTCGTTACGTCTCCGATCGCCGCCACCGGTTACTATTCACCGACAAACTTTATGACCAAACTCCGATAAAAGAACTTTTCATCCATCAAAGTCACTATTCATCAATAGGAGAAGATCTTTCCAACTATTTTCTAGATTATCTCGATAAATTTGGATTAAAGCTACGCAAACTTCGAAGTGAGTTTACGGCCCCACTTTTAAACCTTAGCTTTCGGGGAAGAATACATGCATAAAACTGCTATATACATATTATTTAACTCGCATTTTATACAAACGGGTATGTAAAACACTGCGAACCTCTGCTTACAAAACTAATACAGTAGGGTTATATGGACGGTCGAACCTCTGCTTATAAGAATAATACAGTAGGCTTATATTATCAAACCTCTGCTTAACTACTACAATAAGAAGTATACTTTCAAATATTTTCCTAATAGACTTTGGCATTAAATGTTAAGGCTTATAAACCTATAAACTATTTTATTTAATGGTTTATGTGAGAGACAATCATCAACTAATTACCAAATACTTAGGAAGACCCCTAACTTATAACCTTAATTCTTCGGGAGAGAATGAATTATGTATATATCTATACACAGGTTGACACCCCTACCTGTGGTTGCTAGCTACGACCTGGACGGTCGAGTCAAGCCAGGTGATAATTGTCTACACTACTATGACGTCAGGAGGGCATAACATACAGTCAGGAGCTCAGTTGTAGGAACTCACAATAATGTTAAATACATTTATATATAGGGTAGGAAACTACCTATATACATAGTAACACACTTTTGGTATAGAAAGTACATTTAGATTCAGACATTACAAACATGTGAACTCACCAACTTTAAGTTGACACTCTTTCAAAACACATGTATTCTCAGGGAACTAAGAAGCTAGAGGTCATACTCTTGGAATAATCATGGGATTGTAGTCTATCTATCGTATTCTAGTACTTTCATAGTTGCCTACTTTTCTGGCATGTTCTGTAGTTTCTGATTTTCATATACCCTAGACTAGGGAATATGTAATTTCCCCTTATCAAGCAATAAAACTAGATATTTCATGTTTTACTGTTGTATTGTTCGGTGTATGCAAACGACTGTGATCCATGATGTCGTCTCACCGCCCAACGTTTTCGCCGCCGACTAGGGGTGTGACACCTACCATGGAGATGATTTCCACCACTGTGAGTATGGTTCTCGTCCAACAGAATAGTAGGAGAATAGGGATTGTCATAATGAGAAGCTTGAACATGCCTTACTTGATTCATCCAATTCTCCTCGAGAAGGAGCATGGATCGAGTCACTAGAAATGAAGGAAGTAGGGATCAATGTCGGATCAGACTCGCGATGTAGTCATATTTCGGGGAAAGACTATTGATCATGTACATCACCAAGTTCTTCTATGGAACCTTACAGTCAACGTTGTCCAGTATATCAACAATCGTTTTTATCCTAGTGTAGTAAATTGGTGATTGACGAGTCACGATTGGAAATCGTTATGAGTTCACTATCAAGTTGTACAATCTTTGTTGTCGCGAAATAGGGTTTCAATACTTAACCTAACTTATGAGGTTGTGCATGTTTTCATGTTCATTTGGAATTGGGACTGAGAGATCCCATATATTAGGTTTTGACAAGAGAGTCTATAGGAGTTCATTATTGATTTGTGTTTGTTGGTGAAGCTTTGTCATCTAGGTGTTTGTTGGGACTGAGAGATGGAACGATGAATATATGTTGGTGATTTCATATGTTTTCTTCATATGGTGGAGGATTAGAGGTTGGTTTGAGAGAGAGATAGAGAGAGAGAGAGAGAGAGAGAGAGACCATGATAAAGATAATATTTCCCATGATGATTTCCATTCAATAGAATAGAAATACATACATGTACACTATAGACTAGGGCTTACAATATGAGAAGTAATTCGTACACAATAATTTTTTTCCATACATAACAAATTATGTTTTGTAGAGTTGTACGATATAATATTTTAAAGCACAAATTAATACAAATACAATAGCACATAACATGGCAAGCTATTGTGAGAGCCTTTGCATAACTAGTTTTTTCACTTTGCTTCTAAATTTACAAGCTTTCTACATAGAGCTTTTTCATAATATATATTATATTTTTTATCTTATTAATTACAAATAAATATGCTTTGTAAAAAAAGCCTTACGGTAGTAGAGATTTTAAACTTTATGGTTTGTTGAGTTGACCTTGATCTGGTATAGTGAAAAAAAAAATCTTTTCTAAAAGCTCTTAACACGGTATCCAATGAAAAATCCATCTAATTATAGCATTGTACTTACAGTGAAAACTGTTTTTTATTAATTTTCAAAAGTAAGGTATTTTAATAAGAAAAAATGAGAGTAGGATCCTATAATAAACAAACAATGAAGATACATTTCTATTTCTAGCAATAGTTTACTGTATATTCCAAAATATCATACCTCTAGGATTTCAATGATGAAATTAAGGAAACTAGGCAATGATCTGCAGCCTGTGAAAGCATCAGCTTCCACTGTCAAATGCTCAAATCTCACTTCAATTGTAGGCAAATCAATTCCCACCCTGAAAATTCAAAAAAAAAAAAAAAAGACCGAATTTTAAAAATAATAATAATAATAATAAATCAAGTTTTTGAAAGGTTTTAATGCTCAAATTACGTGTCAATTCTGTCTCTGAGCTTCAACAAGAACTTCTCATTATCTTCTTCAGGTACTTTTACCAGTCTATCGAGCAAATGCTTCCTGTCTTCTACTCCAAGATTATCAACAAAAATCTCATCAGGTGATCCACTAGATCCATAAAGCAGACCTTTTTTCAACCTATCAGAAGTTGGTAGCTTTTCAAGAACAGCACATTTCAGAGCTTCTTCATCATCATCATCATCTTCATGTCGATTTGACTGAGAGAAAACGTCCAATCCACTGTCCCTCCACGAAGTGGTACGACTACTCCCTAAATTAAAACTTCTACTAGCCTTGTATATATCACTTCCATCCATTTTCACACTCTGACTAAAAAATATTCACGATTTGAAATGGGGTTTCACTGTCTATTTTAAAGCTGATCAAAAATGCATTATGTATATATTCTTTTAGAGGAACAACTTTTTGTTGTTGTGGATAGAAAGGAAAGTAGTTGTCTTTATAAAAGACTCCGAATATCCAAAAGGCAATAATTGGTTGAGATATTTTTAGTCATAGTAATCATTTTACTCATGTCTCACGTTGGCACTCACCACATCCTTAGCGACGTTAATTTCTAGAATAAAGCATATCACTAAGCTTCATAGTGCTTGCGAATGTAAGATATGTGTATCACGTTTATGCTATTTGGGGGAAAAATCAAATAATTATATATAATATCAAGTTAGCAACAGATCCAATAGTAAAACACAAAAATGGTGAGTTTTAAACATTGAAATTGTGTAATCAATCCAACCAAATACTAAAATGGTGTATTTTAGAGGTCAAACATTTTGGCCTTCATATTTAGTGTTTGAGTGTATCCCACACACTAAAATGGTGTGTTTTAGAGGTTGGTTGGAATGCTAATGAGAAAAACCAACACTAACATGGTGTTTTTTAGTGTCCCATTGGAATTGGTAGCCATATATAACTTGAAACTTGCAAAATGCTTAATTATAAGTTTCACTTACTATTATTATCCGTAAAAAATGAAGTGTACTTTACTATTGTGGGTGAGAAATGTGAGTAATGGTTAAGAAAATAAATAAATATATATATATATATATATTATATATATATATAATATATATATATATATTGTTTTGATCTATAAAAAAATCATTTTAGAAGTTTCAACAATCTGCTTTGTTCAAGCCATTCTAAAACTGAATATTGAACTTAAATTACCTAATCTTTTAAAATTAATAATCAATAATTATTTTTCAAAAATGATAATTTAATAATAAAAGATCAAAATCGGTTATTAAATAGTCTTTGGTCTAGTTGTATCAAAATATATGAAATGTGTTTCTCCTTCAAAAAAATTAAGAATCCTACTTTAAAAAAAGAGTAGCCAATAGCCACGTGGCATGTTTCTAAGCCCCCACCAGCTAATTTTCCCGCTCATTTTTTCTATCTGACATGCCTAAAATCCTCTTATTCTATTTTGCCCTAATTTGAATCTAATAAGTAAACGATTTATCCTTTCATATTCCAGCTATCTATACAAGATATCAGCTTCAATACCGAGATTCTTCGGTTGATTAGCAAAATCTCACTGATTTTACTCCTACCTATCCGTAAATCTAACCAAAAACATTAATCGGCCCATCTTTCTTCTCTATCTTTCTTCTTCGCCCTCTCTATCAATGGTTGTGTTGCGATGCGTCCATATCTAGAGCTTCTACACATTCCTTTTTTCCTATCCAAATACCTACTCCGCCCTTCCCTTCCATTTTCAAAGAATATTCAGAACGAAAAATCAGGGCTTCTATCTATTCATGAGAAACCTTAATCATTTCTCTAGCTCGGCCGCTTTACGATACAGATGCTTACATGTGGGGTTTTTGGTCAGGGTTTTTACAAAAGGGTGCCGCCAAAGACAAATTAGATAAGTCTCAAATCCAACGGGTCTTAATTTTTTTCCTCATTAATATTTCCCTTGTTTATTGGCTGGCTCGTCTGACAACCTGATTATCATCATCTAAATATATTCATCTAAATCTTCATATTCATTTTTATCGATATGTTAGCTCAATGAAACCATGTAATCTTTTATGAATTTCCTGTGTAATTTTCTCTCTTAAATACCTAAACTAACAAAAAAAATATGTGGCAGATATGTTGATTTGGGTCACACATGAATAACATTTTCTTTTTTATTTTGGTATCACATGAGGTTAAGAAGAGAGAAATACCAAAATCAATATCTAATTGGTTGTTGTTGAGTGTTTCGGTTCTAAGCCTCTTAAATGTGCCAAATGAGAAACCTTAAATTCAAAATCTTGTAAAAGATAAATCATCTTTGTGGAATCTGCCACTGAAGTAAGGTTCTAAGCCTCTAATGTTATACTAATTGTAACGTCCCAAAAATGAGACCCAAAAATTTCATTTTCAAATTAATAAAAACATTATCCCAAAACATCATCATAAATCCTAAGTGGAACAAATGTATCAATACATCATAGAATATCAGAGTCATCATGAAAATGCGGAACAATATCGTGTGTGCACTACAATCACCCCAAGCTCTTCCCCTTTGCACCAGAAGTGTCTGAAACATAAATTGAAAACCGTAAGCACGAAGTTTAGTGAGTTTCCCCCAAATACCACATACCACACATATCAAACATATAATGGGCCCCGCCTTAACTCGCATAACGGGCCCCACCCACTTATTATAACGGGCCTCTCCCTAACTCGCATAATGGGCGCTGCCCAATGAGTATAACGACCTCGCCCTAACTCGCACAACGGGCCCTGCCCGGCAAACATACAAGTATAACGAGTACTAGCATACAGAATACCCATTGGTCCCCGCCCTCTAAACATACAAACACATACACATGCAAGAGTCACGCAGACCTCTAGCATCCTAACATAAAAAACCATGGGTCGCATTGGTGCCTTCGAGCCGCTAAACATGGTGAGGACTCTCCTCAAGCTGCTGAATCATTAGAATAAATCTCTGGATGTTGGTCCGGTAAATCCACACTCTATCAATATCAACAATATCCAATTTATTAATTGGATCTCAACCCATAACCATAGGTCTAATCTATTGGCCCAGACCAAGGATCAATCCATTTACTAAGAGAGCCCAAACTCTAATTGACAATCCACGGCCCAATTATGGCCCAATCTCTCAAATTGGGCCCAAGACCCACCATGGGCCTAAAATGCAATGAAGCCCAACAAGCTAGTCCAAGTCTAACACAGAAGTCTGGTGGCCCAATAAGGCCCAAGCAATGGAAGCCTAAACAATGGCCCAATACCGAGAACGTCTAATCCAAGCCCATTTGATGAGTACGTGGGGCGTACTCAGCTCATACGCTAAGCGTACTCCTTTTGGGGTTAGTACGCCCAGCGTACTCCCCGGTGTGCCACCCCCACTCCATTAAGCACTTAAACGATTCAGCCCCTACTCCATACTCTCAGACCTTGTCTCAAAAGATGACTTAACACGTAAAGTTGGAAACTTTACGTGCATGTGTGGCTTAATGTGGCTCTAGAGCTCAAAAGAGCTTAACAAGAGTCTTAACACATGCATGAGTCAATACACACCATAAAGTTTGCATTTTTATGCATAAGGGGCCCTAAAATGTCCAGATCTAAAGGGTTAAGCTTCTAAAATGACCTTAGCTCACAAGGACCAATCAAAAGGGACCAAAATAGCCATAAAGAAACCCTAGAGTAGATCTATACAAGGAGTTGACAAGTTATGGACTTTATACCTCAAAAGTCACTAAATGATGATGTCAACTCTAGATCTCTAAGCTCTTCTCCGAAGAATAAGTCTTCAATCCCCTTCTACCACTTCAAAATACACAAACACACACCAAAATGCTTCACAAGAGCTCAAAAGCACCAAAACAAAGGGTAAGGGCGAGGTTAGGGTTTTCAAGATATGGAGGTTGTGTTAGATTAGGTGTCTAAGCCCATAACTATTTTGGTATGTACTTGAACCGATTATGAGCATGGTCCTTTTGGGTTGCCTTCACCATAGAAACTGATAGGATGAACTAAGGAGAAAGAGGATTAATTATGATTTATTAATATATTATGTGAATAATATATTAAAAGAGAAATCATATTGTTTAATTAATATTAGTCAAGAATTAATTAAGAATTAATTTTGTGGCTAAAAGAGATTAATTAAATAAAGGGGACTGATATTGCAATTATATGATAGTTACAAATTGGGCTATGGATTCCTAATGGAAAGGGCATTGGACGAAATCTATGGGAAGCCCATATGATTTTCGTCCAAGGGCTTCTAGAGCGACTCCATGGGTTGCTTAAAGCCTAAGCATAGAATTAGGGTTTCACCTGAAACCCTAGTAGCCCTCACAAGTATATAAAGACCCCTAAGGCTCCCAAAAACGTGGCTAACCTTCTAAGAGAAACCCTAGACGTTTTTTGGTGCCTCCTCCTCCCTCTCCTAAGTCGTCTTGTTGCTAGTGGTGTTTGTGACTCCATTAGAGGTGCAACACTTGAGTCACTAAGCTTTCAGAAGTCAAGATCAAGAAGGTTTGTGATTGTTATTGCTACATAACAATCAAGGTAATTATTCTAACCCTAACCATATGTCAATTTCAGATTTGTATGCTAGTCAATTAGGGTTCATTGCTTTGGTATTCAATGTTGTATGTTTACTTAGGAAAACCTAGATCAAAGCAATTAGGGTTGCATGAACACCATAAGAATGATGTTATGCTCATAACCCATCAGTGGTATTAGAGCCTAGGTTGTTTTTCTAGTGAATAGATGCAAAAGTGTACCACCAAAGTTCAAGAAAATCGAAAATTTCACCTTCTGACAGGCAGACTCACCGAGTCCATGAATGGACTCGACGAGTAGGTCCTACTCGACGAGTTCCATTGTGGACTCAACGAGTCCAGGGCTCTGGTGCCGGGATTTTCGATTTTTCTGCCAGATTTTGTTGAGGATAATTGCCAAAACTCGTTTTTCTTGCCAAAATCCGATTTTTTAAAGTTTGGAATAGTTATCCTCATCAAAATTGATGGATTTGGTTAAATATGGATAATATAGGATTACTGTTAGTAAAATATTTAACCTAGTAATTTGTAAAAAAGTTTCAAATTGCACCCTATAAACTGAAAGTTTAAATTTGAACTTCAAAGTTTTAGTTTTTGAAATTTAAATAGTTAAACCCTAATGTTTTGAAAGGTTTCAAAATTTGCCCTCAAGTTTTGGAATTTAATTTTAATTAAAAAGTATTAATTTTGAAATATTAAATTCTAAAACCCTAAAGTTTTGAAAAGTTCAATTTACACCCTTATGGTTTATTAATTTAATTAAGAGTTTAATTAAAAGAGATAATTAATAAATCATAATTATATGGTTTAAGATTAATCAAATTAAAGGTCTAATTTATTAATAAGTTTAAACCA